AATGTAAACATAAACACGCCGTTTCATAAATTCCCATCTCGTCGCCCGTGTTTTGGCGGATCGGCGTCGGCCATGTTTAGTAGTGTGTTGCATCCTAGTGTAGAAGGGCTGGATGAAACGACCCCTCCTGATTATGTTCAATTGTGCCGTAGTATCGATTTTGAAGCGGGAAGCTTGGACGCTTATTTCTTTTGCAGGTTGTAAAGTCAAGAGCAGGGTGGCAAAATTTCATGAACAATAAAATTTTAAAATTTCACGTGAAATATTTCATGAAATTTCAGAAGTTTATGAAAGACGATGAAAAATACCGATTCCTTTTCATGTTTTGCAAAATGCAAAAATTGTGACTTTCTTCTATTTTTGTGTGTTTGGGTGTGGGTTGCATACTCTAACCTCTGAAAAATATGAAATAATACACAGCCTCCACCGAAAAAAAAGTGAAGTTGATTTAACATTCTGGATGTAAAAAAAAGTGTGCGAGAACTCACAAAATGCTGAATTACCCACTACGGCAGTTAGCTTTACATCTTGACATAGCTAAAATTACTGCTGTAGGAGTTACTTCAGCATTTTGTAGGTTCTTGCACAATTTTTTTACATCCAGAATGTTAAATCAACTTCACTTTTTTTTCGGCGTCGTAAAATTCCACGAGTTATTTCGCTGAAACCAATCATTCATTTCTTCCTAACGTTTCATGCCACTCTGGTCAAGAGAGTATTTCAGACCTTCACATATACTTATTCATTCCTTTCCTTCCTCTCTTCAGCGTCAAGTTTACCGGGACACGCGGCCAGAGGACGTACCCTATTACACCCAATATTTTGATCAACATCCCCGCGGCCAAGTGCAACAACGGCGACCCGGGGAGATGACGTCACCTACCCGTCGAGAAAAATCCCCGCGGGGGAGGCGTCCCGGAACTTCACCAAACCCCAACGCGAGGGGGCAAAGACAGAGAGATTTGCCGAGAAACATACACAACAAAACCCAACTCAGGGGAGTACCTTACGGGGAGATAAATGGGAAACATGTGCATTTTGCAGCGCCTCAACCATCGCCTCCGCGTGAGCAGAAAGGAGCCGATGTTAATAATCCCGATGAAAGGAAAAAGAAAAAATCGACGAAGATAGATAGCTGGTTGGCCTCATTGCCCGATGAACTAGATCCTCCAGATGATTATATAAACGAAGATCCTCTCGGTAGTCCCAAGCCTCAGTACAAGAGACGCTAGGTCCGTTGCACGCAAGAGATGGAGCCAAACATAGACGATGTACTGGGCTGTCGAGCAATTTTCAACAAAAAAATTCCCTGACGTATTCTTGATTGTCTTGGCCAAATCGGCCAAAACACTGAGAAACAATTGAAATTCCCTGACATTTTCCTGAGAAATAGGAAAAATGGACGTATTTCTGTCAAACGGAACTAAGCGCCAATTTGAATACCTTTTGAGGAATTTAGAATGCCGGATAGCGCGTTCTGTCAAACGGAACTAAGCGCCGTGGAAAAACATTGTGAGTATGGGACGGAATGAGCCCAACGCTCGGTTCCGCCGCCAATCTAAGCCCCCCTCTACATCCCTCCCCCAATGGCGCTTAGCTCCGTTTGACAGAAATATGTCCAAATAATACTAGTTTTTCAACACGGTTGAACTGATTAGATGTGAGTGATAATGTTTTCATGTTTTAGGAATAGAATGTAATAAAAAAAGCAAAATATATGGTGCCTAAACTTACACAAGATATTTTGCCCTCGTTTGTAAAATTTAAGGAAAGTTCGTGAAGAATTTTCTGAAAAATCTGTGTTTTTCGATTTCCCTGACGTTTTCCTGGCACAAAAATAGCTTGCAGAATAAAATTCCGTGACATATTCTTGATTGTCTTGGCCAAATCGACCAAAATACTGAGGAAAAATTGAAATTCCCTGACATTTTCCTGACAAATAGGAAAAATAATACTTATTTTTCAACACGGTTAAACTGATTAGATGTAAGTGAGATGCTTTCATGTTTTAGGAATAGAATGTAATAAAATAAAGCAAAATATATGGTGCCTAAACTTACACGAGATATTTTGCCCTCATTTGTAAAATTTAAGCGACGTTCGTGAAGAATTTTCCGAAAAATCCGTGTTTTTCGATTTCCCTGACGTTTTCTTGGCACAAAAATAGCCTGCAAAATAAAATTGCGTGACATGCCGAATTTTTGCGGACTCCTTGACGTTTTCCTTGACATTTTCCGGTTTTCCTGGGAGCTAGTGTCTCTAAGTTGCTGGGTTAGTTGCGCTGGTAAAATGATCGTGTTTTGACGATTGATTCCTACATTATAGCTAAAAATAATGAGATCCGTCCAAACAGCATCTCTCTACGATCAATATTATCCGAGGTATCGCACTTTGAAAAATTCGGTCGTCCTTGTTACACCCTCGGTTCCTTCCACCTTGCTTTGATTTGAGTTTCATATTGAGTAACCAGAGCAAATACGTATGTATCACCGGCTGATGAACGCAAGGTAAAAGAGATAATGGTATGCATAACCGCGGAGGATGAAGTGGATTGCATTTTGCAAAAAGGAACCACTAGCATTGCAATGATGCTAAGATCGTGCAATTTCATCATTTGCAATAAAATTGCGGAAATTGTGAAAAACTATGAAATTTAGATGGTAATTTTTGTCTTAAATTTACAGTTTTTAGCGAGTAAAATAGAAACTATTGAGGGATAATCGGGTTTTTCCTCCAAGACAAAAGAAGTTGCACAATCTTAGCAACATTGCAATGCTAGTGGTTCCTGTTTGCAAAATGCAATCCAAGTCATAAACCGAATGCTTGAAATCGCGATATCTCGGATAATGGTGAGAGTAGAAAGTTGCTGTTTGGACTCATCTCACTATTTTTAGCTGATCTACGAGACTCCAGCATCAAGTCACGATTCTGTGACCAGCACAGCTGACCTTTTTTAAGGGTCAAAATAAGACTTTTTCTTGAGATAAAGTCTTATTTTGACCCTTAAAAAAGGTCAGCTGTGCTGGTCACAGAATTAATTAATTGTTAATTAATTAATCGATTAATTGTTTTCTGAAAATACTTTTTCTCGACGCCACACCAAATCAAAATCGAGGATTTTTCCCCGAGATTTGCCCATAACTCTGTTCCAAAGCGTCAAATGTCGATGAAAGTTGTGTTCTCGGAGTAACTTTTTGCGAGCTTTGAATTATTTGTAGTTTCAAATACCTAGGATTTCAAGGGAAAACGGTAGGAAATATCTGTACATCAAAAATGACCGTAACTTTTGAGCTGATGAAATGTTTTGAATTCCGACTGCACCTCATGAAAGCTCCGTCAGATTTTGATGGAAAAAGCTAAGAATAAGTCATACCAAAAGCAGATAGAAAAGCTCTTGGTCACCAGGTAAAAAAATCGTCTTCCAAAATCTCCTGGAAGATAGGCAACCGATCAGCCACGCACACATGTAATCGAAATAAGTAAACTTTAAATTCAGAGGTCAAAGCTATTTTAGTCTAGTGATGATTTCTGAGCAACTGCTTCAGCAAAATAAGAGCGTAAAATTTGCCAGGATACGCAAAAAGCTTAGCACGACATTTTTTGAGTCGTCGTTAGGCGGAGTTCACCCGATGTTTCGCTCAAAAAGTCACCATCAACCATTTCTAGGCGAAAAATAGGGTAATCTTCAGATCATGTTACTTCCTCATCACTCGATTACATTAATACTAAAAGGGACTATGTTCCACGCAAACCCCATGCATATAGTTCCTTTTAGCATAAATACGTCCAATTGTTGGTGCGGGTCTCTTAAATAGACGTATTTCTACCAAACGGAACTATGTGCATTATGACGCGAACCATATTATGTATATATCCTTGTGGGTCTCAGGGCTCATGTCTCAATGCACATAGTTCAGTTTGGCAGGAATACGTCCATTTTATCTCCAATTATCTAAGATATGGCATGGACGTTTTCTAGAGGCAAATGATTGCCTCGCAGTCGTGCACGTTGAAGCACTCTTGCTTGCACTAAAATGTTTAACTTTTGACCGAAATAAGACGTGATGAAAATCGAATTATAAAAAAAGGCGAAAAAATATCATTCTCCCGAAATAAAAAAAAAATGCGTAAAATAAATAGTCCTGTTGAGACGTGGTTTTCTCCCAGTTGATGTAAGTTTTCTATCTTGTATTTCATAGAACGGATATATTGAAAATATTCTTGAGTTTTTGGTTTGTATTGTGATGAAAACGTGTCTTTCACCTTCCCAAAAAGTCAATCAGGTCCCTCCCAATCCTTCCAAATTCACCGTCTCCTCAAAAAATGGTTTTAAATTTTTATCGACGAACATAATAATATTAAAAAATGCTTATTCCAGTGAAAACTGTCTCCTTAAATTTTCAAAAAAGTATCATAGTTGCGTTTCTGGCAATTTTAACTTTCGAGACTTTAGCGTCATTAGTTACGTACTGCACTGTATATACGCAGTGGCAAATTACCAGTCCACGGGTCTTCATGCGTGATTAGGCGGGAAAAATGTGACACATTTCTGCCAAACGGAACTATGTGTATTAAGACATGAGCCCTGAGACCCATAAGAATATATGCATAACAGGGCTCGCTCACGTCATAATGCACACAATTCTGCTTGGCAGAAATACGTCCAATTTTTTCTTGTAGAGTGCGCAATCCAGGCTCCATTTGATTCATGTACCATTTTTTGCAAGATCAGCTCACTTTCGAATTGCTCATGACGTGGGTGTAAGACTTGGCGCTCAATCATCTTCAACTTTCTACTGATTCATTGTTCGAGCGCATGTCAGCAGACAGTATGAATTAATGTGCACGTGTTCGCTATGTGAGTCTTTCCAAAGAGCCTCTTTAGCTCACGACTCGTTCTGCTCCTGCAAAGTTGGAACAAATTGATCCAATCGAAAGTCCAAAGTTCAAAAACCCATACCAAGCCGGTAAAATTTACACTGGTCTGGTTGAGTGGGTCATTATCGGTTCCAATTTTGTTGGTTGACGCAAGGACAGTTACGAGGGATTCCACCCGAGAAGAAATGCGTTCCAGGTAAGTGTGTGATACTTGAACCACGTGAAGCAGAGAGGAACCAAGCCACGTCAAATGTTGCCATTTAATTGGGCAGTTTAATTGTTTACACGAAAACGATTGTGTGGAATTTTGTGCAAGTCTCAGTGAACTTTCTGCATAGTGCGAAGCCAATTTCCTGAAATTTTCAAATGAATCCGCATAAAAGTCCTCTTTTAAAAAGTCACATTGCCCAATTAAAGACAATTGCTGATGTAGCTTGGTTCTTTTCGCTAAACGCGATCCAATTCACAGTATAACACTTTGATGGCTTAAAAAATATTTTGATTAGAAACTAATTTAAGTTAAGTTAAAAATACCGCTTCCTAGACTTGAACAGATATTGACGGGGAACTGGGATGAAAAGTATGGTCATTTTGGAGAAACTTTTGGAGGGTAAAACCTATACTTTACGACAAAAGGCATCCATAACTTCGTCCAAAGGAAAGGTTCCTTAAAAGTTCAGTAATAAAAGTTCTAAAATTCCGAGGTTACCTTGAAAGGTGAGGAAACAATTATCGTCAATTGGACTACATATTACCTGGATGTTTCTTGAAGATATCAAATTTTCTGATATTTATCGATTTTTACTGACGGCAGACACCCTGATTTTGCAAGAAGGAACTGCAATCTTTGGCTCATTTTAGAGACAACACATAAGCAATTACTTCCCGCATGGAAAAAAGTGTCTTTATCAATGAGCCAAAACTTGTAGTTCCTTAATGCAAAATGAATAAGTCCAAGTAAAAGCCCGATAAGGCGGATATAGAGTGAGACATCAAAAGGTGCTTATGAGTCAGTGTATAAATTAAAGGTTACTTAATTTAACAACTTAGATCAATTTTGAAAAAGGTGAACTTAATAAAAATAAATTGCCTAGCAAAAAACTCATTTGTTACATCTACAACTGGTTAGTGCTTATCGTTGTTCCGCATGCTCGACAGGATTATTCTTAAAACAGTATCATGAAAGCTTTCTTTCATAAAATGTGTTACGAGCAGACAACAAGACATACTTGCTTTCTTTTAAACAAAGATGTACCATTTCGACGGTGTAAGTCGGCAATCACACATATAACTCGGTTTTCGACGTCGCAGACTTCCTGTCATACTTTATTTTTTAAACGAAAAACTACTCGACGGAAATACTTTGAAACTGCCGTGATTTTTCTTCTCTGTGCGAAGAAAATTCTACAAAAAATTCAAGGGTTGATGTCAATTTGTTCTCCTTCAAAAAAATAACATAGAGGCGAAGATTTTCAGACACTGCAAACGAGTTATGTGATTGCTGACATACACCGTCGACTTGTTATTTTTAGTAGATATGAAATAAATAATGCAGTTTTCAAGTTCGTAAACTACCTCCGGCTATTATGGGAAGCTTTCTGTTTTTGTGGAGCTTTGAACTTACTTCCAGCGTCAGCACGGGACATTTTCTCGGGAGATTCAGAAACGTTCAATCTCAAAAATCAGGATGCAATGATCGAGTACATTAACCGTGTTCAGACGTCATGGACGGTAAGAACCTTTCCTCAAAATAAAAAAAAAAATACAAATTTGCAAAAAACCTGGTTTGTTTTTCTTCCTCGACTTTAAAAGGGTAAAATGAAGGATTTTCCCACGCTTGTAGTAATGAGCCGAGGAAATTTGGCGACGCTGAAGTGATATGATTGACGCTTTTATGGCGCAGTATTACACTGAAAAAAAAAGATCGATGGGATTTACCATTCCTTCATGCTGTATTTCACACAGCGTCAATCCAGAGTCAATTCTGCCAGAATGAAGGTAAACGTTACTATATACTGGTACAGGTAACCATTCCTCTGGCAAGCTCGACTTTGAATTCACGCTGTGTGAAATACAGCGTGAAGGAGTGGTAAATTCTGCCAATCTTTTTTTTTCCAGTGTAACATTAAACTCTGATTGTAGCACCTGAATTAAACTATTTGTGCTTCTTAGTGCCCAGGTTGCATTATCAGATATTTGAAGGCACACTGTTTTTTTTTTTTTTTTTTTTTGCTCCAGTGCTGTCGACAAATTGAACTGCATTTTGCGATTCGGTACTATAATTTCTTGGTTATTTCAGAAGCAACGCAGTTTGTGCCGCCATTAGTTTCCCTATGCACATAAGTGATTTTACGGTTGAGCTAGAAATTGAAGTTCCTAATAGCAAAATGAGGTCCAGTTGTCCCAGTGCCGTACACGTTAAAATCGATTTTATGAATCCAGCGTAGGTCAACCAAAGGAGTTTAACAGTGATGTTATAGATATAGAGTCAACTTGTTTTATTATGAGGTTGGACAAGACTGGAATTGGGACGACTATTCATGAACTTTGGTAAAGATGAGTTGAGATAACAACAGCCAATGTGTTATTTTTGTATTAAACAATCTTGGATTCATTTTATAAAGGTAATACATTTTCATAGCTTGTGCATGGAGAGAAAAACTTCGTACGTAAGACCTGAAGTTCAGGAATCTCTGAAGTTTTCGTGCATGGATCGTGCACCCGATAACTTGAGGTCCGGCTGTTGAAGTTCGGGGGACATATCTGAAACCTTTCGGTGCTTTGGCTAAAGCAATTCAAGATTCGACAAAAGCACTGAAGTACCTCATATGTGTGACACAAAATTTGACGGCTGAATCTCAAGTTTTCAGATGCACGAATAGAAAAATTCAGAGGTCCATATAGGACCTAAATTTAGTGTCCCCAGCACAAAGTTTTTTTCTCTGTGTATTGACTTTTAATAGCTTTTGACGCAGGCCTTGTAGAGTTATCATTGCTCTTATTTAGCCACTTATGATGATTCTAAAGACTGAGAGGCCCCTGCCAAAATGAATATCAGAACATATTACACCTTGGCTGTCGTCGTTTTCATTTCAACTCATCCAAATCTAATGGGTTTTGTTGTGAACTTCAACTAGTGCAAGAAAAAAGAGCCACTTCTTGTAGATAATGACTCAACAATCACGATAAGCGCAATGGAAAGTCTAAAATATACTCCTAATTTCACAATCTACGCGCGTATTTCTGAAATTCTCGCTTCAAAAACGATACGGCACAGGTGAGCATCTCGTAAGAGGAGCTGTTCCGTCCAACCTTTGCGCACTAGGATGCTACACAAAATTCAACATGGCCGACGTCAATCACCCACAACATACGTGACAATATGAGATTTATCAACCGGTGATTTTATTATTACATTTTCCTTCCGTCGATGAAGACCATGGTGCTTCCTCACGATTTGCGCGCGGAAACGTTAGCCATGTTGTATATTGTGTGGCATCCTAGTGCGCGGTTGTTTAAAATTCGCCTCCAGCTGCATCTGCAGCAATTGCAGTCACGAATATGTTGCACGTGCTGATTCCCTTTCATTACATACATGACTCTCTGAGGGCGTTTCATGAGCGAAAGCAATTCGCCTTCAGCTGTGTCGGGAGCAATTGTTGTTACGAATATGTTGTGCGTGATGATTTTAGTTCATTACATAATTGACTCTTTGAAGGCGTTTTATGTGGGCAAACAGCGCTCCCTGTTGAAGAAAATCAGAAGTAGATTTCAATCTCTTCTTTTGTTTTTCTCCGACAGGGTGCGCTATTTGCTCACATAAAACGCCCTCAAAGAGTCAATTATGTAATGAACTAAAATCAGACGCACAACATATTCGTAGCAACAATTGCTCCCGACGCAATTGAAGGCGAATCGGAAACAACCAAATAATTATCTCTGAGTAACATTTCAGCGCTTATAGCCCAAGCAAAATCATGGGTCAATGAGTATAAAATATCGTAGAATTGTGTGACGGTGTTTGGTGGGTTGGCGTCGACCATGTTGATTATCGTGTAGCATCCTAGTGCGAAAGGGTTGGATGGAACGACTCCTCTCACGAAATATTAACCTGTGCCGTAATATCGTTTTTGAAGCGGGAAGCTTGAGAAACGCATATTTTTAGGCAGATTGTGACGTTAAGAGGATAATTCAGACTTCCCTGACGTGCGCATCGCGATTTTTGAGCCATTTTCCATTAGAGATAACTCATTATTTTGCTCTAGCTGAAATTCGCAACAGGCCCATTCTATTGATTATATGGACGTATTTCTGCGAAACGGAACGATGTGCATTGCGACGCGAGCCCTGTTATGCATGTATTCTTATGGATGTCAGGGCTCTTGTCTTAATGCACACATAGTTCTGTTTGATAGGAATACGTCCATATTAGTAAATCAACGTGGACCATATTTTCATGACGCACGGTGGATCGAATCAATGGGAGAGGTCGGATATGATTTAAAAACTTTTAAAGCGTACACCTATGTTAATATGAAATTTAGATGTTTTGAAAGTAGTTCCATTGGTTTTCTCGTAAAATTTCTATAGGAAGCACCCTTAAATATTAAAATCGCGATGAGATAAACGTAAAATTTTACAATTTTTGTCGACGATTTCATGTCTGACTTCTTCCATTGACTCGACCTACTGTGGATTAAGTGGATTGCATTTTGCAAAGAGGAACCACTAGCATTGCAATGTTGCTAAGATTGTGCAACTTCTTTTGTCTTGGAGGAAAAACCCGATTATCCATTATTAGTTTCTATTTTACTAGCTAAAAACTGTAAATTTAAGACAAAAATTACCATCTAAATTTCATAGTTTTTCACGATTTCCGCAATTTCATTGCAAAGGATGAAGTTGCACAATCTTAGCATCATTGCAATGCTAGTGGTTCCTTTTTGCAAAATGCAATCCAAGTGTTCCTATGGGTGTGGTACAGGCAGGAAGGAACTTCCCCGACGACACGGATCCGGGCTACCTTAAGCGGCTTGCTTCAGCCTGGAGACCCGAGAGAGACGAACAAACAAATGGAACGGTTTCAGATGCCCTCGAGGAAGAGTTCCACGTCACTTATTCGGGTGCTGATCCACCGGCTGAGTTCGACGCGAGGAAGAAGTGGACCAACTGTCCCAGCCTTTCCCACATCTATGACCAAGGGAACTGCGGGGGTTGTTGGGTATGAGTTTCAATAAAATATTCACAATTGGACCGCGTTTAACAGAAAGGAACCAAGCCACATCAGCTATTGCCAAATTTAATTGGGCAATGTAATTTTGTACATGAAAACGGTTGTGCGGATTTTCGTACCAATTTCAGTAAAAATTCTCCATGCTACGAAGCAAATCCCTTAAAATTTTCAAAGAAATCCAAACAAACGTTCGCTCGTAAAAAAATTGATTGCCTAGTCAAACTTGGCAATAGCTGATGAGGCTTGGTTCCTTTCTGTTAAACTCGGTTCAATTTTATTCATTTTTTTGGGCTGAAGGAGATATTAAAAGTTATTTCATGAAAACTTCCGTAACTGTTTCACTGCGTGAACACAGGCCTATGAAAATTGCAAGCAATAGATAATGGACCACCAGATAAGGTAGGAATTTCAGCATTCTGATACATGTTTCCTCACCAAAATTCTACGTAAAACACGATGCACACAACAAAAATTACCGAAATTAACTCCTTACGAAGATATTTCATGATTCTTGATGCGTGAATTCGAACCACCCGCTCATGAAAACTCAAGGCTCTACGTGATTCACATCGCGCGCTGACGTTATCATGACAGTCTCTGCGATATAAAAATCTGGCAACCTCAATCTTGACGCTTTGGCTCAGTTATAGCAAATTGCTAATAGTTCGAACAACACATGGTGGGAAATGAACATTGCTCGATTGAGAAGTTTGCTGAAATAGTTGTAGTGCGCGATTTGACTCACGTAGAGCTTCGAGTTTCTTGTGAGCCGGCAGTTCATATTCCTCGTAACCAGTGTGAAATAAAAACGTTAATATCTTCGTTAGGAATTGGGTTCAGTAATTTTCGTTGTGTGAATCGTTTTCTACGTGAAATTCTGGTCAAGAAACATGTATCAGATTGCTTAAATTCTTACCTTGTCTAGTGGTGCATTTGCGTGGCAAAATGAGTGGTGTATCTGACAGTCCTCAATGAGCTGCGTCCGCAGTATTTTTCAAAATTTTTTCGTACGTGTGAAATTGTTTGAAAACCGATTTTAAAGTGAGAAAATCTGCCGCTTTGAGCCGCCATCGGGTGGAATTTTCCCTATTAATCTTACGTATTTCAGCAGAGGTGGCTTGGTGGCTTTCTTACGATTGAGGCGTTGGATGCAGAAAGAGCACATCTTGGTTGCGGTGTTTTAGAATCTCCACCGCTAATTCATATTTTAGAGAGGAAACTATTGGGTGAATTTTCTGGGTTTTTTTATTTCGGCATCTCAAAATTATGAAGAAAATTCAGTGAAAGTTTCAACAAATTCCATACATTTGCTTTCATTAAACCCGGATAGAACTTCAATGGTGATTCTGATACACTGCAACTAAGAAATGGACCGAGTTTAACAGAAAGGAACCAAGCCACATCAGCGATTGCCAAGTTTAACTGGGCAATTATATTTTTTTACGAGAGAACGGTTGTTCGGATTCCTTTGAACATTTTAAGGAATTTGTTTCGCACCACGGAGAATTTTCACTGAAATTTGCACGAAAATCCACACAACCGTTTTCATGTAAAAAATTAAATTGCCCAGTTAAATTTGGCAATAGCTGATGTGGCTTGGTTCCTTTCTGTTTAACGCGGTCCAAAATGGACTGCATTTTGCAATTTGGAACTATAAATTCTGGCTCTTGTGGAAAAACACTTATGTGCATAGAGAAACTATGGGCACATACGTTGTTTTTAAACCGGTCTATTATTTATAGTTCCAAATTGCAAAATGCAGTCTAAATGTCCTTCCTGCACTAGCGCTTCAATTGGACGTATTTCTGCAAAACAGAACTGTATGCATCATGACGTAAGCCGCGTTATGCATGTATTCTCATGGATCTCAGGTTTCATGTCATAATGCACATAGATCCGTTTGATAGAAATACGTCCTGTTGTTCCTCTTAGAAACCAAGGATAATCTTACGCTAATTTCACTCAGTAGAATCATCTCAAACCTGAAATTCCCAAAATTGCACACACCTACAAATTCTCGATAGCTCTAGTTTTTCTTCTTTTGATTAAATGGGAAGGAAGATTTTAAAACACTACGAAAAAGATACGCGATTTTATGTAGTTTTATCGTCTAAACATTAATGACATACAAAGTGAAAAGTAACGGATCGTATTCGGACCGCGTTGAACGGAAAGGAACTAAGCCGCATCAACTATTGCCAAATTTAATTGGAAAATTTAATTTTTTACATGAAAACGATTGTGCAGATTTTTGAGGAAATGTCGATGAAATTTATGTATGTAGTGCGAAGCAAATTCCTTAAAATTTTCAAGGGGATCCGCACACACATTTCCTCGTGAAAAACTAAATTGCCCAGTTAAAGGTTTCTTCCTGTTAAATGTGGTTCAATTGAACGAGTTCATGACGTGCGAGTTGGAACTATGTGCATTAAGACATGAGCCCTGAGATCCATAAGGATATATCGACGGTGTAAGTCGGCAATCACATAACTCGGTTTGCGACGTCGCAGACTTCCTGTCATACTTTATTTTTTAAACGGGAAACTACTCGACGGCAATTCTTTAAAACTGCCACGATTTTTCTTCTCTGTGCGAGGAAAATTCTGCAGAAACTTCAAGGAATGATGTCAGTTTGTTCTCCGTTAAAAAAATACCATAGAGGCCGTGATTTTTAGACACCGCAAACGAGTTATGTGATTGCCAACTTACACCGTCGATATGCATAGCAGGGTTTATATCATATTGCACATAGCTCCGTTCGGCAGAAATACGTCCACTTGTCAATCAAAACGGTCGTTTTCAGGCAGTTTCCTCAGCATCCGTGATCACAGATAGGATTTGCATTTCCAGTAACGGAAAATTCAAAGACACGATTTCAGCGTGGGAGATCCTTTCTTGCTGTGCCGAAGATAAATGTCGTGGCTGTGACGGGGGCTTGGAAAAGATTGCTTTCAAATACTACAAGAAACATGGCGTCGTAACCGGAGGAGAATTTGGCACAAACCAGGTAAAAAATGGATCAGTTCAATTAATCAGTCATTCAGCACTATATTTGGATTGCATTTTGCAAAAAGGAACCACTAGCAATGCAATGATGCTAATATTGTGCAACTTCATTTTTTGCAATAAAATTGCGGAAATCGTGAAAAACTATGAAATTTAGATGGTGATTTTTGTCTTAAATTCACAGTTTTTAGCGAGTAAAATAGAAACGATTAATGGATAATCAGGTTTTTCCTCCAAGACAAAAGAAGTTGCACGATCTTAGCAACATTGCAATGATAGTGGTTCCTTTTTGCAAAATGCAATCCATTCAGGAGGGTATTGACTTGATTGACGTGAGCCGATCAACATAGATTGGATTGTCACCTTTCGACCGAATAATCTCATGTGTCATGCAACGTTTCAAAATTTCTGCTTCCATTTTGTTTTTATAAAGAGGAATTGGTCGATGAGGCTGTCCGAAAATTTCACTGCAATTTCTTTGTGCTACCAAAAAAATTCGGTGAAATTTTCAAACAGATTCAACCTATGATTTTTCTGTAAAAAAATAAAGTGGCGGCGGAAATTTTGAAACGTCGCATGGCATTTGTTATACTTTGGCCGGAGGGTGACGAAATCATTGAAACCCGAAATCAATTTGATCGACGTGACTCGATGGTTAAATAAAACGTAAACAGAAGGATGTGATTCGATCGATTCACGGGTTAGTCGATTGGTTCGTGGAGTTGTCGACTGATTCACGGGTTTGTCGATAGACTCGCGGGTTTTATCAATCGATTCATAGGTTTTGGGATCGATTGAAGGGTTAGTCGACCGATTCATGGAGTTGCCGATTTATTCACGACTTCATCGGTCAATTCACGGGTTCGTCGATTGCATCACGGTTTTCAAATATTGAAATAAAATTGAGATCGATGACAGTAAAATTGCATCCCCCCCCCCCCAGAAAATAACAATATTTCTATGTCATCTGGTGCATAAATATCGTTTCGGACAATCAACGAGGTAAGTTCCATGATGTCAGAAAAATAAACAATTTGCAATGCAATAAATTTCCATGAAAAGCGTCCCTTCAATCAATGAAAACGCAACACGCGCGACACTCTGATGCGGTAGAAAAAATAGTATCATGTGATTGCAAGTTACTGCACTCTAATTGCAAGCTACTTGGGTACGAGGATTTTTCCTTTAAATTGACAGACACTCTCAATGTTTTAAGTAAAGTTCGCTGGGGAATAAAAACAGGAGGAACAGAGAAATATTCATAACTTCTTCCAAACACATTATACACATTAAAAGAAATGTGGCAACATTCAGATGCGTTACTCGTCAGGACGGCAGAGCTGATGATTCACTTATTGCAGCAAGATTCGTCCGAAGCTCACAAATTGATGATGAAAAGTACATGTTTAAAGCAAAAGGAACTACTTTCATTCTGATGTGAGCCCTGAGGTCCATAAGAATACATGCAGGACATGGCTCATGTCTCAAATAATATCATTCCTTTGGATGCATATGCGTCCAAAAAAGGATAAGACGCAGATGAATTTCAAATCAGGACGTTGTAATCCCACGACCTTTTCTTTCGATGGAAAAACTAATTAAAAATTAAATTTCGCAGGGTTGCATGCCGTATCAGATAAAACCTTGCACGCATCATATGGGCAGAGATGGCAGATATAAAAATTGCGATAGTTACAATGAGACGGTGGTCCCATCCTGTAAAACGGAATGCCCTAATAAAAGTTATCAGACTCCGTATGCAAAGGACCGACATTTTGGTGAGTTTACGAGAATGACAAGGATTCTCGAGCAGAACATTCTACGCCTACGCACTAGTTGGTTCTCACTTTACACACACGCCTTGCAGTGCGATAAATCGATTGATCTGCCATTTAAACGTATGGAAAAGGATCGATATAGAGGGTGTTCGCAGCTTACATCTGAATAATCGATTCTTTGCCGTACACCGGAAAAAAACACATTGGATCTAGAGTCCAGACTCTTAAAAACATCGACAAGAAAAAATACTCTTGATTCAATCGGATTTTTGCTTAAATCAAGAACCAAGCCTCTCAATTTGAGCGGAATTCCTTTGGATTTAAGCTTAAATCTGCTTGAATCAAGAGTCCTTTATCTTGTCGATGTTTTCAAGAGTCTGGACTCTAGATCCTGTGTTTTTTTTTTTTTTTTCCAGTGTAGCTACCAGACAAGGTATGAATTTAAACATTCTGATCTGGCCTTTATTTTGCAATTATTAGAAACTACAATTTCTGGCTGAATTTAGAAACAGTAGACGTGTCATTTGTTCCCCGATACAGACAGGTGCTTTTATAGATGAGAGGATACCTGTAGTTCCCAAATGCAAAATGTGATCCATATACGTTCCATGTACAATGTTTCAGGTAGAACACGATTCGCAAAGCCGTAATTACTAATTTTAACTCAAAACCAACAGAGATTTTCTTTCGAAAGAGTTTCATTTTAAAAGAGTTTCAATTGAAATAAAGAATCAACTCACAATTTCTTTGCTTGAATTAGAGTTGAAGGAGCGAAATCAAAAACTTACCTGTAACAGAGAGAAAATTCAAATGAAACAATTTATATTAAACGCACAAACATTCAAAATATTATTACCAGTTTAGCTCTGGTTTCTAGAGCTCCTGGCTAATTTTGCTGCGAATACTTCGTTTTCTGCATTTTGATTTGGACCACCAAAGAGGGTGCGTTTAAGCATTCGGATACATGTTTCCTATTCAAAATGTCATGAAGAACTTCATGTGTGCGATGAAAATTACTAAAATGGCCTCCCAACTAATATATTAACGTTCAATTCAAGATTTGTTACGTACAATTTGCATTTCCCGCTCACACGAAAAATTATAGTACATACAACGGTTTTGGCAGGGTTCCATATCAAACAGAGTTCCTTCCCTACCCTACATTGTTTAAAGCGTAAACAACGAGCAAAAGTTGAGCTAATGCGCCGAAATTAAGGCTCGCGTAGTGTATTACCGCCAGCTACTGTCACAGTAACGTTTACTGTGCGATTTGACCCAAGAGAATTATGATTTTTCATGAACTGTATTGAATCTATGCATCGAAAAATATTAATATGATGATCAGCAGTTAGTCTTAGTAATTTTCGTTGTAGGAATCATTTTCTACGAGAACTTTTGATGAGAAAACATGGATCATAACGCTGAACTTCGCACTTCATGCAGTATTTCATTATAAACTTCACGGTATAGGATAAGGAAAACCATATATAGAGCCGACAGTTGGACGTCATTTTGCAATATGGAACAAACATTTCTAACCCATCAGTAACGAGCCTATTTCTATAGAGAAACTAATGGCACAGACGGCGTTTCTAGAATAAGCCAAGAATTGTAGTTCCTTAATGCAGAGTGTAGTCCGCATCTGTGTATAGTGAGTTGAGTCCATGTATTTTAGAGTGTTTCGTATCTGAAGCTACGGGGTCGAAGTCATGCACAATGCATAGCATAAGTGGATTGCATTTTGCAAAAAGGAACCACTAGCATTGCAATGATGCGAAGATTGTACAACTTCATCCTTTATAATACAATTGCGGAAATTGTGAAAAACTATGAAATTTACATGGTAATTTTGGTCTTAAATTTACAGTTTTTAGCGAGTTAAATAGAAACTATTAAGGGATAATCGGGGTTTTCCTCCAAGACAAAAGAAGTCGCACAATCTTAGCAACATTGCAATGCTAGTGGTTCCCTTTTGCAAAATGCAATCCAAGTATCAACACTACACATTTTTCAAGGCTTATGATACTAATTGGTAAACTACTTAATCAGGTAAACGCGCCTACCAAGTGAAAGCTGCTGATCTCAAAAAGGAGCTGTTTGAATTTGGCCCGGTCACGATGAGCTTTGAAGTGTTCGCAGACTTCCCACTTTATAAATCAGGTACAGGATAATTGGGTTTCTAATTTCTCTACAGCTCCAAAAATCAGGATCTCCTTACTCCTTAAAAGGCTCCGAAGCGAGGAGCTCAACGTGGAATGGGTCACTAGACAAGGGAGGACACTACGTCGCTTGGCTGACATAAGGGCGTAACTACACATCGAGATGAGCCCGGAAAAGCATTGAAACGTATGGAAGACAGGGTTCATTGCATAGTGCAGTTACGCCCTTATGTCAGGTAGGCGACGACTAGACAGGAGTCGTAAATGGGGGCCCAGGACGATTAAATTAAATTCCTGAGTTCGATGCCCGATTCGCTCCAATGGCGTGGCGTGATTTGCGATAAATCGATTGATACGCCACTCAAACCTATGAAAAAAGATCGATTATTAGTCCAGGCGCCTGGTAAGTCTACCTGGAATTTTGGGTACACAGCGATTTTTTTGGCCTACTTTATGTTTTTTGGGTCGCTGAATCCGAATCTGAAGTTTCCGCACGCGTATCTGGTGAGCATTTTCCGCTATTTTGAAAAAATGGCCTAAAAAGGCCTTTTTTTGCGGTTTTTTTGATATAGCGGCTACGGATGAGCAAAAGTCCCGGATTTAGCTAATGTTATGAATAGCTGACATAATTTGGAAGAAAATGGTATATAAATATGCTATGTTTGTTCAAAAATTGAGGAACCTCGGATTTCGGAACTTTGGAACGCTTCGGAACTTGGCTGACCGCGGCGAGCCGGATTGCGCGTTGACGGGTGCGCCGCGAAAACGTGAATGGGCGCGATGTTCACGATGCTGTATCTTCCTCAATTTTTAAGCAAACCTAACATATGTATACACCATTTTCTTCCAAATTATGTCAGCTATTCAAAACATTAGCTAAATCCGGGACTTTTCCTCATCCGTAGCCGCTATATCAAAAAAACCGCAAAAAAAGGCCTTTTTAGGCCATTTTTTCAAAATAGCGGAAAATGCTCACCAGATACGCCTGCGGAAACTTCAGATTCGGATTCAGCGACCCAAAAAACATAAAGTAAGCCAAAAAAATCGCTGTGTACCCAAAATTCCAGGTAGCCTCATTTTTAGCTACCAGGCGCCTGGACTATATCAGGGTGTTCGCAGCGAACACCTTGGAAATCGATTCTTTACCATAGCTTCAAATGGCGAGATATCGATAATCGATCATTTACGCCACGCCACTGATTCACTCCCGCAATCTCCGACCTAGTCTGACCTGAAATAACAGAGAAAAAAGCCCGACTCTACACCAATACTGCCGTGCTAAGGAAAAACGTCGGATGAACCTTCAGGCGCTGCCAAATTTCCTTCTATAGAACGTGAAATACCCGGTAAATTTATGAATAATTTCCTCCCGATTTTTCATATAATTTAGTTCGCAATTTTACCTAAATATTCTGAGAATTTATAGGAAAAATATTCGTAACTCTCCTTAAAAAATAATCATTTTATCGATGGAAATCTGCCAACTCTCGAATGTTAATGCGGCGTTCTCCTTTATAACACGGCAAAACAGGTCCCGGGTTCGAATTCCGGTGGTGGCGACAAATTTTCAAGGAACTGACTAGTAGATCTGCAAAAACAGACTCCAGTCGGTGTTAATCCCTGAAAATTTGAAAGCCTGGAGCATAGGCGCGTACTAACCCTAATCCGATGCTCATTCAAGGTTGTAGAATCATCCAATGATTTAAAAACCTAAATAACTTTTTAAAAAAAGCCCGCGGTAGGTGTAACTCGATTTATTTTGCGAAGAAAGCTCCGTACTCTTAAAGGATGTCTGTCATTCTTGATACATTGGAGCGCCTTCAATTTCGTATGATACTGTGCACCACCTCTGTGGTGAAATAGTTGCTTGAAGCGCCGCCCCGCGGCGGGCAAGGGCGACCGGCGTGACACGCGCTTTGGCGCCTACAAACCTAAGTGGATACTTTACACATTCCGCAATGCGTGAGGTATCCACTTAGGTTTGTAGGCGCCAATGCGCGCGTCGCGGTAGCAGCACGCCGCGTGCCGCTCCGCTCTGTTTGGCTCTAATATTTAAGCTCGCGGAGTCAGCGTTTTCCAACTCATGATTTTGAAATGTTTGCACACTCTGCATGGATGATTCTCATTTAAACTGATAATGATTTCCAAAGCACTTTAATTTTTTATTGTAAGTTTTGTGATTTTACTCTGTTGCCGAATGGTGTACGCGAAACCAAACGCTCAAAATTGGACACATTTGACTCTAATAGATTTATGTAAAAATGAGTTAAAACCGAAGATTGTGTGCTCTTTCTTTTTCTTTTATTATTTTTTGTATAGTTTCTTTCAACACAACTACGTCTCATAGAATTAATAACGATTCCATCGCGTAGAAAAAGTGTTGCAAATCGATTTGTAAAAAAGTAAATGTTTTTAAAATGAAGTAATATTTTCATTTAAAAAAAAGAAAAGAAAGGTATAGTAAGGTACATTTTAAATCGAAAGTTTTAAGGATACAAATTAAACCAAATATTCACCAATGACAATGAACCAAAAGAAGAAAAAGACATTTCATTTCAAAAATGACCTATCATAACAACACTTCCTCCTCTCTCAGTTTACTCATTTTAATATTGTCATTATAATTGGACGTATTTTTATCAAACGGAACTATGTGTATTATGAAGTGAGCTCCTGTTATGCATATATTCTCATAGATCTCAGGGCTCATGTCTTAATGCACATAGTTCCGTTTGATAGAAACACGTCCAATTTCACATACGGATTAAGATATGACGCTTGGACCAAGTCACTGTCGCCAATGTTACTCGTGGACATAAACTACTGGCAAAACAGTTGCGCGGAAAAAACAATCGTTGACAAAATGTCCTGAAACCAACATTTCAAATGTTATCTCCTGATTTTTACCGCGAATAAATTGACACTTGTTTGCTTTTACAAACCAAAATATTGAATTAATTAAATCAAGGCGGTCGCGCTTTGCTTTAGACTCGGAATTTCCTAATTCATGGCCGATTTTCCAGATATTTTCCTGATGACATCAACCAAATCCTAGTTAGCACTCCTGGCCATTCAAAAAATCGTGTGAGGGTGTGTTAATGATAACTGCGGCAAGGTTGGAGCAAGGACTATAAAATGTAGATATTATAGATGGGTTAAAATGGGTGAAAGTGCTGATTATCAGCACCATCTGGTAACAATGAATCCCGCGGGGGAGAACATCCTCTATATTCGAATGCAATAAATAATTTCTCCCTTCATTTAAATTGTGATCCTGTGCTCAAACCTGCCCAGAAATTCAACTGAAAATTCCATGCCCGGAGCAAATTCACTTTTTTAAGTAAAAAAATCAATTATTTCAAGTTTTCCTTTTACGATCCCTTGTGCTCTCCGCAGTTATGACCAGATAACCGCAAAAACTGACCAGGTATAGTCAGTTTATATTGCATCAACATATTTTCCGGGGTTTAAAATGACGGTAGACACCCTGTCAATCACGTGATCGAAAAGAAAGGAATCTATGTCGCAGGGCTTTAGACTAACCTTCTCTGCACTAAAATGACCAACACCTGTGAATTTTTCCAGGAACAAAGTGGAGAAATGGTTCTGGGTCCACACCATTTGGATTGCATTTTGCAGAAAGGAACCAGAAGCATTGCAATGGTGTTAAGATTGTGTAACTTCATCGTTTGCAATAAAATTACTGAAACCATGAGAAAATATGAAATTGACTTGATAATTTTTGTATTCAATCTACAGTTTTTAGCGAGTAAAATAGGAACTGCTAATGGATAATCACGTTTTTCTTCCAAGATAAAAGAAGATGCACAATTTGAGCAACATTGCAATGCTCCTGGTTCCTTTTTGCAAAATGCAATCCATTTCTCCATATTGTTATCCAGTCCCTTTATATTGAGAGTCAAGACAATGTGAATCCATTTCTGATTGGTTCCCGTATTTTAGGCCTCCACAGTGTCACAAACGGGAATAAAGATTACATGTTTACCAATTGTAAAGATTATAATCTGGAATGGACCGGGGAATTACGGGTTCGGCAAGGAACAAACGGAATGAGAGAAGGAACGGAGAAAGGAATCTTAGACTGGGCCGATCAAAGATTGTAAAAAACGTTCAATTTCTGTAATCTTTATTCCCGTTTGTGACTTCGTGAAGAATGTTGTCTTGACTCTCAGTATAAAGGGACTCTAGTTACGTACAGTCCGCGCCACTTCTTGGTGCTATTTTCTCTCATTTTTCCAGGAATATACCATCATGTAACTGGAAAATCGGTGGGATGGCACGCCGTAAGGGTAATCGGGTACGGGCCCGGGTACTACCTGGCTACAAATTCTTGGAATTCTGAATGGGGAGACAACGGGCTGGTCAAGTTTAAAAGTGGCACAAATGAATGCCATAACGAAGAGGACGGTTTCCGGACAGCTTTACCGAAAGAATGATCATTCTTCACAGAAAAAAATGGATTGCTGATTTAGACTGCATTTTGCAATTTGGAGCTATAAATTCTGGATCATCTGGATCTGGATCTGGATCATCTTATGTGTATAGGGAAACTAATGGCACATACGATGTTATATAAACCGGGCTAGAATTTATAGTTCCAAATTGCAAAATGTAGTCCATTTGGCAATTAAATTGTTAAAAATATGTCCCAAATGTTTCAAATGTACATTTTACAATAAAGGAAAGCTAATTTAACCACGGGGTTGGTTAAATTATAATCTTCTTATTGCAAAACGTGCATCGACTGTATCTACTTCGAAACCTGTCAGACACTTTTTCAAACTGCAAAACTGTTAAATTAGTAACATCATTTTTTCCGTGTCCTGTCCCGTAGACTTAATCTGTACACTCGCCCTTGGAAGCGATTCAATTTACATAGCCTTCCATATTTCTTGATTTTAGCATGTACAATGATTTTTGCATGTCCTCTTGATTGTACTTAATTTTGTAAAATAAATAGAGAAAATAACATTTTGCCGCACATGAGCCTCGACAAGAGATATGTTTTTCCACTGGTTTTTAGTTTACCATCAATAGTGACGTGTCTTCAAGACAGGAAACATGATGTTTTCAGTGTCTAAGGCTTCCTTCCCCATACAGTTTAAGCAAGAACCTTGAACCCTTGGCCAGGAAATCCAATTCTTAAGAGCCATCTGCAATTTTTCAGGAGCCATATATCAGATTTTTGCAAATAGACGGCTGAGGAACCATACCACCTACCTGCAAAGTTACAATTTTGCAGGGAAAAGAGAAATAATTAACACTTTCGTTATTTGAAAGTGAGGTTTGCAATTTTTTCATACGTTAAAGCGGCATTACAGCGCTTCCCTGCAGAATTGGAAAAAAACTAAGAACATCAGCTTGCGGATTTCATGGTGTAAAGGCGGGAAAGTCGCTAACTCATTTTTGCTAAAATGGACCACTAGACAAGGTACGAATTTCAGCACTATGATACGTCGTTATTAACTAAAATTTCACGTAGAACACGATGCGCACAACAAAAACTACCGAAGTTAATTCATTTTTTTGGGTTGAAGGAGATATTTAAAGTTATTTCATGAAAACTTCCGTAATCGTTTCACTGCGTGAACACAGGCCTATGAAAATTGCAAGCAATAGATAATGGACCACCAGATAAGGTAGGAATTTCAGCATTCTGATACATGTTTCTTCACCAAAATTTTACGTAAAACATGATGCTCACAACGAAAATTACCAAAATTAACTCCTTACGAAGATATTTCATGATTCTTATTGATGCGTGCATTCGAACCACCCGCTCATGAAAACTCAATGCTCTACGTGATTCACATCGCGCGCTAAACGTTCTCATGACAGTACCTGCGATATAAATATCTGGCAACCTCAATCTTGACGCTTTGGCTCAACTGTAGCAAATTGCTTACATTTTGAACAACACATGGCGGGAAATGAACATTGCTCGATTGAGAAGCTTGCTGAAACCGTTGAGTGGACGATTTTGACTCACGTAGAGCTTTGAGTTTCTTGTCAGCGGGCAGTTCAAATTCCTCGTAACCATTGTGAAATAAAAACGTTAATATATTCGTTTGGAGTTTGGTTTCAGTAATTTTCGTTGTGTGAATCATGTTCTACGTGAAATTCTGGCGAAGAAGCATGTATCAGATTACTTAAATTCGTACCTTGTCTATAGTGGTCCATTGTCAGATAGACGTTATTGTTCCTCAGCCATGGATATGCATCATGGCGCATGAAATTGGGAATTGGAAAGAATCCACGGGACGCGTCAACCTTTTTAGGTGCAACAATGGCCCCATTGCCCCAATTTTTAGGCGCCGAAGCCCGATTTTTAGGTGATTTTAGATTTGGAGAAGGCGCCTAGCGCTCGAGGATGGCAGAACACTGGCTCCTTCATATTGTCTTCTGTAGTAGACAATTCAGGATTCAAGGGATTCATAACCCATTTTTCGCTGGATAAACTCATTTTCAAGAACGCGGAAAACTAGCTCACTCATGAGCGATTTGCGTTCGATCATGTTCAAAATTCCACTGATTTATCGTCAAATGCAAGCCGGCTGACGTTGCGAATTTATGAGCATGTGTTCGCTGCGCACGGCTTCTCCTTGGAGCTGTGGAATTAAGAAATTTATGCAATCACGATTTCAAAGTTAAACCCAAACATAAACCGAGTCGCTAAGTGTTGCACTGGTCCAGTTGAGTACTTGATTCCTCTGGTTTTCGATGGTGCAGCACAAACGTTCTTTCGTAAATACTAAGTTTCCCAGTGGAATTTGGCAATATCTGTTGTGGCCTAGTTCCTTTTTTCTTAACGCGGTCCATTTGGACGTATATCTATCAAACAGAACTATGTGCAGGTGGGAAAGATTGGGTCTGCTCGTTAGTGCTCGGGCCATAAGAATGAATGGGAAACATAAAGCACTAGTGACGAAGCCGTCGTCGCGGTTCCTCATAGTGGGCATTAACTCATGAGCCCTGTCCACAACGCTCCAGACACATGCTCATGGCTCATACACTTTGAACATAGTTCCAGACAAAATGACAGAATGTAAAATCCTGCTTTTCCAATCCAGCAAACGGAATTGTGAGCTAACTGAAAGCGGCACCCACACGGAAAACAATCTTCGTGCGTGGGACCCGAAGTTTAGGTCATATGGATCTCTGAAGTTTTCGGATTGAGCATCTGAACACTTTATGTCCAGCTACTGAGGTTTGGATCACACATCTGAAACTTCAGTTCTTACATCTGAAGTACTTCAGATGTGAGAACCGAAGTTTTTCGGATGTGAGAACCGAAGTTTTTCGGATTATAAAACCGAAGTACTTCAGATGTAAGAACTGAAGTTTCAGATGTGTGATCCAAACCTCAGCAGCTGGACCTAAAGTGTTTAGATGCTCAATCCGAAAACTACAGAGATCCATATGATCTAAACTTCGGGTCCCACGCACGAAGTTTTTTTCTCCGTGCATGAGCCACGCGCATGTGTCTAGAGCGTTGTGAACAGGGCTCATGAGTTAATGCCCACTTCGAGGAGCCACGTCGACGGCTTCGTCACTGGCGCTTCATATTTCCCATTCATTCTTATGGCCCGAGCACTAACGAGCAGACCCCATCTTTCCCACCTTCACTTAGCTCTCTTTGATAGAAATATGTCCATTTGAATGTTGATATGGCATTTTTCCTTAGGACGGGCGCATCCTGGTCGCTCTACCGGGTGCGGTCGGGTGATGGGGCGCTTACGGCCTTTAACCGGCCCGTGAGCGAGCGTCAGTGAATTGCAAAAGCGAGGCAAAGCAGGTCCCGGGACTTAGGCTGAAAGGGAGGCGTTTTAATTAAGGCGTCCAACAAACTACACGGGGGCATTTCACCCGTTTTATTGAGACATCCCGGTCGTGTCGCGCCCCGGCGCGAGATCCGCGCCCAACGCCCCGCCACGGCGTCAGGACGTCATGACGTCATGACGTCACGACCGAGGCCTGAATTTAAAGCACCTGCAGCAATTCCACAAACCGAACCCATACTGCAGGCCCACCGCATTTCGGCCTGTTGCCAGCCGGATCCAATAATTACGAACACACTGGGGGGAAAAAAAACACATTGGATCTAAAGTTCAGACTCTTGAAAACATTTACAAGAAAAAATACTATTGATTCAATCGATTTTTGCTTTAATCAAAACGAAATCCGCTTAAATTAAGAGGCTTGTTTCTTGATTTAAGCTAGATTCTGATTGAATCATGAGAACTTTTTCTTGTCGATGTTTTGAAGAGTCTGGACTCTATATCCAATGTGTTTTTTTTTCCAGTGCGGGTATCTATAGAGAGGCACTTGTTAAATATTCTGCACGGGAATAACCGGACAAGGATCTGCCGTACTATACTGCAGGCCCACCGCATTTCGGCCTGTTGCCAGCCGGATCAAATAATTACGAACACACTGGGGGAAAAAAAAAAAAACACATTGGATCTAAAGTTTAGACTCTTGAAAACATTGACAAGAAAAAATACTCTTGATTCGATCGAATTTTTGCTTGAATCAAAACGAAATCCGCTTAAATTAAGAGGCTTGGTTCTTGATTTAAGCTAAAATCCGATTGAATCAAGAGTGCTTTTTCTTGTCACTATAATAAATCAATCACTCTGGATAATTCAAATTTCTAGGTTGGTCTCACTTTTGGGTCTTAAAAGCTCTACACTGGAACAAAAAAAAACCACATTGGATATAGAGTCCAGACTCTTGAAAACATTGACAAGAAAAATACTCTTGATTCAATCGGATTTTAGCTTAGTTCAAGAAACAGGCCTCTTAATTTAGGCGGATTTCGTTTTGATTCAAGCAAAAATCCGGTTGAATCAAGAGTACTTTTTCTTGTCGATGTTTTTTAAGAGTCTGAACTCTAGATCCAATGTCTTTTTTTCCAGTGCACAGAAAAAAAAGGATGCTGACTCAACATTCTGGATGTAAAAAAGCGTGAGATAACTCACAAAACTGAGTTAACCGCCACAGCACTTAGCTTCACAACTCGACGTTGATATAGTAACTGCTGTGGCGATTAACTCAGCGTTTTTGAGTTGCCGCGCACTTTGTTACATCCAGGATGTCAAGTCAACAATCTCCGTCTTTACGGTGAAGCAAAATAGAATGAATGGATAAATAACACCGTTATGTAACTTTAGTCGCACACCTACACTAAAATTGTTGAAAGTTAACTTTTTCCGGCTGCTCATCGAAAGATTTGCCACTTTTAAAATAAAGAAATATTCGGAGAAAAAATCTTTTACAACAAACGTTAGCAACAAACGACAAACGTTTACGTAAAAATTTACAACACTCGCAATTAATTTTCTTCATCATTGTGGTTTTTTTTTCCTTTCTTTTTTTTATTAAATCATTGTCATCCCTTTCAAGGGTCCGAATTTCCAACGTTACGTCATACTAATAGATTTAAATTGATGTTCGCAAAAATATACCTTTTATGATACTATACTAAGGCCCTCCTCGAAACTCCTTTAAGCACAATATAAGCCGAATGGGGCCTTCTGAGGAAAAAAGCTCTTTTTGAGGAACGACTATGAATACCAATGGCTTTGCGATACATCGCTTGATCTACCATTTAAACCTACAGAAAAGGATCGATTAACAAGATGTTCGCAACCAGCATGCCAATAATCGATTCTTCACCACAGTTTCAAATGGGGAGACAGCGATAATCGTCATTCACGCCTCACTACTGATGAATTACACTCTGAGATCGTGCAACGTGCCACAAGACAGTGTATATAAAATTACGGGTCACAATACATTTTTAATCATTGAAATTTTGCGTAGAACACGGTGGATACGGTAAAAAATACTTAATGGAGCCCTTCAATGCGTCAGGGTTTTGCCATTAATGCACTTTTCTGTTCGTTAAATTTCTTGGAAAACACGATGGTATTTCTGACTTTCCGTGAAATGAACTAAGCTTAAAGAAAGTTCTCAAAGTTGAGGCCGTGTCGAAG